CGCCGGCCACGGGCGGCGTGAAGAAGCCGCACCGCTACCGGCCCGGCACCGTGGCCCTGCGCGAGATCCGCCGCTACCAGAAGTCCACGGAGCTGCTGATCCGCAAGCTGCCCTTCCAGCGCCTGGTGCGCGAGATCGCGCAGGACTTCAAGACCGACCTGCGCTTCCAGAGCTCGGCCGTCATGGCGCTGCAGGAGGCGTGCGAGGCCTACCTGGTGGGGCTGTTCGAGGACACCAACCTGTGCGCCATCCACGCCAAGCGCGTCACCATCATGCCCAAGGACATCCAGCTGGCGCGCCGCATCCGCGGGGAGCGGGCCTGATTCTCACGTCTTCCTCTCCCAAAGGCTCTTTTCAGAGCCACCCACCTTTTGCAGGAAAGGGCTGGGAACGCTCCCTACCCGCAGTGAATTAGTATAAACATTCATGTGCTTGGGAGTTAGGGCGTATGCTAGCACATAGGTACACATTACTCCAAGTTTGCACCGTAGAAACAATACCTGCCCTTCCCAATGTTAGCTCCAGTGCTATTCTTCACTTAAGTCCTATTTAAGATCCAAAGTTGGAGGGACGTGAAAGACTTGGCATTTCAAGGGTTAATATGGCCCAAATCTCAAAAGCAGGCTTGTCATTTACTAGGAACATCCATTTCTACCTGTGATCTTGTCAGAGATCTTGTCAAAGTTTACTGTTAAATGACCTTTTTGCCTTTTCATGTTGACTTTCCTGCTTGAAATATCTTTTGGAACCTTGAGTTTCCTCAGGGTCCCTTAGAGTAACTGCTGATAAAGAACAATCAATAATACTCTTTCAAGCTGGGCTCTGGCTCCCCCGCCCTCGGGTTTGGAGGAGGGACCAAGGGAGTGGCGGTGACGTCACATTTCCCGCCAGTGCGTTGTCCAATCACTACCTCGGCTGAGGGAGGGGTGGATGGGGGCGGGGGGTTGGCGGATTATATAAGAACCAGCTCTTTCTCTCTTCGCCACTTGTTCCTGCTTCTCTACTTGCAAAGCCATGTCCGGTCGCGGCAAAGGCGGGAAGGGCCTGGGCAAGGGCGGCGCCAAGCGCCACCGCAAGGTGCTGCGCGACAACATCCAGGGCATCACCAAGCCCGCCATCCGGCGCCTGGCGCGGCGCGGCGGCGTCAAGCGCATCTCCGGGCTCATCTACGAGGAGACGCGCGGGGTGCTCAAGGTCTTCCTGGAGAACGTGATCCGCGACGCCGTCACCTACACGGAGCACGCCAAGCGCAAGACGGTCACGGCCATGGACGTGGTCTACGCGCTCAAGCGCCAGGGCCGCACCCTCTACGGCTTCGGCGGCTGAGCCCGTCCTCCGCCCCGTCCCCCCCAAAGGCCCTTTTCAGGGCCGCCCACCCCCTCTCGGAAGAGCTGCGCGCGCTGTCGTGCTCGTGTTTCTGTGGACACGTTTTCTCGTGTTTGATGGCGGGGATTTTAAGCTTTGGCAGGAGCTGTAGGCTCGATGGAGGCTCCTCCGGCAGTTTCTATGCAGGCCCCCACGGTCGGCGGCGCCCTGGGCCCGTTGGGAGGGATTGGGGGCTTCCGGGGTTGATCGATAGGAAGAAGCAACCAGGAGGGGCACGAATTTAAAGTTCTAGGGCACTTAGGGTTTTCTTTTTCTGGCAGGGACACCCCTTGTACCCTGTGAAAGGATCAAGCAAAGACAAGCCTGGTTGGGGAGCAGCAGTTTGCAGTGACGCGGAGCCCTAGAAGCGTCGCTGGCCTCGTTCTTAGTTCAGGAATTAAATGTTTCTGCAAGTTGTGGATCTGCGAGGGTGCAGCCAACACCCCCCCCCCCTCAGGGAGTCATCAGATCGATTAAAGTTAGAGATTTCCAGCAAAACCTGGGCTATTCCAACTGGATTTGCCCTGGCGACGTCACGAAGGATTGACATTGGACTCTTGTCCTTCACCCAGGCTTCGGCTCAGTGTCGTCACCCCCATTTTCCCCACAAACTGGGTGAACTCAGGTTTAAATATAACTAGGCCTTGCTTAGTTCCATTCTCACGCCGGCCCCCCCTTGAGCCCCAGGCTGAGCAGTTTGTAAATTCCATAGAATAGACGAAGGGGTCAGTGTCCTAACGCGGATCCCTGACCTCTTCTGCGACCTGCGGCCTCACAGCATTTGGGAGGGAGCTCGCTCGGTCACAGGCTCTGCTCTTAACCTGCAGTGACTCCTAACGTTGTTTCCCCGGACACTCCCCCGCCCCTTTAAAAAAAAAAATCATGGGCTGTTTAAACACAATATGGATGTCCTTAGGTTGGCACATCGGTTTTTAATAGTCTGCATCTTAGAACCTTATATGCATATTTGCATAACTCATGGACGCAGACAGCAGGGTGGCGAAGGCCTGGGGGAGGGGGTGGGGCGGGCTGGAGGAGGTCAATGGGGGAAAGGGGGACATATGTAATACTTTCAACAATAAAGATTCATTTTAAAAATAGTCTGCGTCTTTGAAAATGTTCCTTACCATCATTCTTAAATAAGTATATTTTTATTGATTTTCAGAGAGGGGGGAGAGAAAAATCAATGATGAGAGAGAATCAGATCGGCTGCCTCCAGCACGCCCCCTACTGGGGATCGAACCCGCGACCGGGGCCATGTGCCTTGACCCGGAATGGAACCCTAGACCCTTCAGTCCCCAGGCCGACGCTCTATCCACTGAGCTAAACCAGCCAGGGCGCCATCATTTTTTTTCTTTTAATGGTCTATCACCTCTCCCCTACCTGAATGCGGTGAATGGGATTCAGAATGGGGGCAATACTAGCTGGACTTGAGTTACAAGGCTACACAGATGTCAGACTTGAATTTGCCTTAATCTTGTTCATTTCAACCACAGCACCGACACTCGGCACACAAACGGGTGTAGGATGACCTTTGTAGCAGCCCTTTTGGAGGAGGGTGGCCCTGAAAGGCGGAGGGAGGGGAGAGCAGGGGCCGCAGGGCAGAGGCTGTGCCCGGGGGGAGCCCCTCCTTCCCAAACGCCAGGTGAGGCCTCGGGCTGTGAGACACCGAGTTAGAGCCGCGCCTTCTGGTCTAGTGGACGGTGATTCACACTCTGCTCCGCCCGGGGCTTGGGGAGGGTCCGGCCTGCAAGTGAACGGAAAGGACAAGGCCCTGCGCCATTTAAACCCAGCACCGCCGGTCTGACTGAAGGGAATGGGTTCGACGCCCGGGGTGCAGGGATCCCCACATCACTGCTCCTAACTCCCCCCAAGAAACTCAGAGGGAAACATTCGCAGGTGAAACAAGTTACAAGCCTGTGACTACCTGAACCGCCGCAAAGACAAGGCACTGCAATGAAAAGTAAAGCCACAGCTCTTTCAAAGGAACGGATGGGTGGCCCTAAAAAGGGCCGTTGGTTTTGCTGAAGAAGCCAGTAGGTGGGTGGCTCAGCCGCCGAAGCCGTAGAGGGTGCGGCCCTGGCGCTTGAGCGCGTAGACCACGTCCATGGCCGTGACCGTCTTGCGCTTGGCGTGCTCCGTGTAGGTGACGGCGTCGCGGATCACGTTCTCCAGGAAGACCTTGAGCACCCCGCGCGTCTCCTCGTAGATGAGCCCGGAGATGCGCTTGACGCCGCCGCGCCGCGCCAGGCGCCGGATGGCGGGCTTGGTGATGCCCTGGATGTTGTCGCGCAGCACCTTGCGGTGGCGCTTGGCGCCGCCCTTGCCCAGGCCCTTCCCGCCTTTGCCGCGACCGGACATGGTGACGGAGCGCAAGTCAGAGACGTCTGTCCCCGCGCTGGGGACTGCAGCCTCTTAAATAACCAGGGGGCGGACCTGGTTTGAAACAGCCCGGAAAAGGCGGGAAACAGCCGAGTCCCCGCCCCTGCTTCTAGACCCTCAAGGAAACACGGAGTAAGATTTTCTGTTATTTAGAAAATAAGAAATCCCGAGCAGGAGGGTCTACCGTGTACGCGAACGAAATTAACTCCTTTGTGGGTGTGTCCAGCCCATGGATATTTTTGGATCATTTCCAACATGGAATTAAAAGAACCCCAAACAAAACAACAATGAGGTACCATCTCACACCTGTCAGCCCAAACCGCAAGGGACAAAGGAATTGGTAAATGGGTTGCCAAGCAACCCAGCCAGGCTTTGGGTCTGGAATTGGTGAGGGGCTGCTCTCAGGCTGCTACTGGCCTGTCAAGCTGAGTTTTCTTGGCCGTCTCCACGCAAAGGACGCGCACTTGTCCGTAACCGAGACAGGATCATGGAACAGACTGTAAGCCGGCCAAGCGGGACAGGGGAACCGAGACGGCGAAACGGCATGAGCAGCCACCTGGTGAACCCTGTCTCCCTACACCAGGGACACTTAAGAGTAGTTTGCGCTTCTTCCCAGAGGGTAGAGAGCTTAAACCATCTACTCAGGGCGACAGAGAGCAGACATCCCATCAGCGCCATTTGCCAACACGCCCAAGGACAGGTGACGCTAAGAGCATAAATCTCATTCTGGTGCGTGAGCACAAAGCTGATGGGGATTCTTAGAGATCTCCCCTAAGAACTTCCCTAAATGCCCAGCCTTTAAACCCCTTCAAAACGAAGTGTGCGCTCTTTTTCCCAGGAGTATGCCCCCCCCCAACTCCCCCCATGAAGCATCTTCTAAGCTCTAAGGAACCCCACGAGGCCAGCGACCAGGGCAGCAGCAGTTCGTCCCAGACGAAGCCCCTGAACCTGCCCCGAAGGCCCCCTTCCCCCTGACTTTTAGGGAGCCAAGCAGAGCAGCCTGGATCACGTCCCCAGCCCTTCCTTGTTTCTGGGTTCCCAGCTTTAATACGGGTCCTTGAAAGTTCACCCCGACTCCCGTTGTGAACTGTTTCCTGCACCAAGTCTCCAACCCACACCCTACCGGCTGCCCTAGGCAGACCCCTTCAGGGCCAGACCCCCTTTCCGGTTACATCTGATAGTTCTTTGACAATAAGTTCCTATCGCCTGACTTCGGTGTAAAATATTTCTAATACAGGCAGCACTAAAGCACAATGCAGGGTTCCAGGGCATTTCCAGCCTAACCGGAGCATGGGCAGTGTGCTTCCATTTAAACAAGTTGAGCTCATGCATTTAAACAATGGGGTTCGCAGAGGGAAAGAATGTGGATTCCAGGGGCTGATGCCCTGTTCTCTGGCCTAAGGCAGAGGGTGGAGGGGTGCTGGCTCATCCAATTCCAGGAAAGCTGTCATAAATGCTGAAGCTAGAAGTGTGGACGAAAGGGACCACACGCTAACCTGACAAGCTCAGGGGAGGCCTGCATGGTGGTCTTGCAAACTCAGAGACCTAAAGTAACCACAAAGGATGGTCTGAAATTAAACCTTAACTAAGAGCAGTTATGGTGGGCAGTTACGTCCTAGGCCGGTATCTTCACTGACAAGGTCAACCTTTACTGTAACTGAGCCTATCTGTCTTTTTGCATCTATGAGAACATACCCTTGAAATGTCTGGGTAACTTGTAACTTCCCTTTTCCTGGAGCCCCTGGGGCACAACCTAAGGTGCTGAGAGCCAGGACAGATGCCACAAATTCCTTCACTATCATGTTAATTGTTCCTGCACGGACCTAAGCCTGTGTCCATCATTTTACTTTTTATCCAATCCCAGGGGTTTCCCCTGCTTTGCTTTATTCCTCCTCCTTAATCTATCACCAGTGAATTTCATGTAACCCACCTACATCCTTCCTTTGATTGCAAATGTGTAAATACAAATGTAGCCTTATCTCAATTCATTGAGGTTCTGCTTCCTGGCATATGTTGACAGTTTGGCTCAAATAAACTCACAAATTTTTTTTTACAGGTTTCAATGGTTTTTTTTACGTTAACAGAAGGAATTGTACGCAAGTGACAGTGATAAAGATGCAGTCATTCCTAGAGGTTTGCAATATTTTCAAAATTTTGCTGAACTACTACATGAGAGCATTAAGATATACATGAGGCCCTTTAGAATACAATGTTCAAAATAAGAGACGGCATTTTATTGTTTTTAAAAACAAAATTCAACTGAGTCCATTTGAATATCTAATTAGCTTTATTAACCAATTCCTGAACCGGGCAGCAACCGACTTGTAACTAACTAAAAGGGTGCTCCTAGGAGTTGTACAAAATAAATGAGTTTTCTAGGAACAGGGACAGAGCAAGCAACCCATTAACAATGGTGAGGAAAGGGTTTCTCTTTGGGGAAAGAGAATAAGAGCATTTTCATCTCGCAGGCTGCCTCTCCTTTCTAATGTGATGGAGAGGGCCCATGCGACCGATGACCTTACTAGAGCCTTACCGGAAAATTCCAGACTGGTGGTTTACAGTGACATTCCTGGGAGAGGTCGGAACTGCAATTAGATCAGGTATTAAATCTAGGTTTGGGCCTGTGGTTTTTGTCCTGGTCTAACCCTCCGAACCTACCCAAGTCCCTTTTTCTCTGACTCCGCAGGTAAGAGGGTTAACTTGAAATGGAGGCAGATAGGGCAGGGGTCCGGCGGAAAACGAAGGGAGGGGGAACATAGGCAGGGCAGACATGAGTTAGAGCAGCATAACCACAGGAACCAACCAAGCAGAGGCAAGAAAATGTTTCTGGACTCACAGCGGGAGGCATGGGAAACCAAGGGAGGGCCTGCAGCAACAAGGGATACGAACTCATAGAAACGGAGAGAGTTCAGGTCGTTGTTGGGCAAAAACAATTGAGGGAATCAAGCAGGTGGCGACACAGGTAGACGAAGAGCAGCTTGTAGCACATATATACATACCCCTGACCACAAGGGTTTAGCGGGCAGCCCACCATTGGGCCCCCCTCCTCTTCCGGGGAGTCGGAGCCTGCCTGTAATAACTTCCACTTTGCTTTAATCTTCTGGTCCGAGGAGCTCATTCTAAGGCGTCGAGACAGGACCCGGGAAAACAGCTAGGCTCATGGTTCCGTTATGACAGGGAGCGGTCAGCAACCCGACTTGGCCCAGTCCCTTCTGGAGCCCAGGGAGCTCTGCTTGGTCTGTCCTTGTGCTTCTTCTACCTTAGGCCCTTCCTGGTTTCCCAGTCTCCACGGTTTTATTTTCAAAAACCCCTGGACTTGTGTTCTCAAACCCTTTCTACACCAAGTCAAGAAACCACACACTCTAGGCCCAGGGCGGTAATTTCTGCCTGAAAATAAATCATAACAGTTTGCGCACAGCTCTTGTAAGTGAAAATGTGGTGGCTCTGAAAAGAGCCTTTGGGTTTCGGTGCAAGTGGGTAGGAGGGAGCTCACGCCCTCTCGCCGCGGATGCGGCGCGCGAGCTGGATGTCCTTGGGCATGATGGTGACGCGCTTGGCGTGGATGGCGCACAGGTTGGTGTCCTCGAACAGCCCCACCAGGTAGGCCTCGCACGCCTCCTGCAGCGCCATGACGGCCGAGCTCTGGAAGCGCAGGTCGGTCTTGAAGTCCTGCGCGATCTCGCGCACCAGGCGCTGGAAGGGCAGCTTGCGGATCAGCAGCTCCGTGGACTTCTGGTAGCGGCGGATCTCGCGCAGGGCCACGGTGCCGGTGGCCAGCTGCTTGCGGGGCGCCTTCCCGCCCGTGGACTTGCGCGCCGTCTGCTTGGTGCGAGCCATTCCTAACAGCCAGGAGCCGGGAACCACTGAATAAGAGTGAGCGCTTTCAACGGTTATTTATAATGCGGGGCCCACGCTGATTGGATAAGGCATCTGTCCATCAAGTCCCGCCAGAAGTGATTGGAAGCCGCATCCACTTCCGCATCCCAGGAGCCTCCGGGGCGTTTGCATCAGAAATTAACATCTTCCTCCCACCTACCCTTTCAACAGCGGCCGTTTTCCAGTCTTTCTGGCCTCTACCCTTTTCTGCGTCTTTTCTCTACAATGTTCTTTGGTTTTTCTGCGCAGAACTTCATGTAAGTATTAAAAAATATACATTGTTTGCTAAATGAAGAATTTTAGTTTTCGCCCCGAAAACGCTTCCGTCTGATCTTTTTGAAAAAGCGCGCGCTACATGGGATTGGCCAAGCAAATTTTGAGCCTCATTCAAGTTTAGGGGGGCTAATTTCCTGTCAGTTTCTTAATTTCTCTAAATAAATTTACGTTTCTGTGGGTTTTTTCTGTTTACCTTGATTTTACATTTGGTGTTATAGCTACAGTGACATTTACTACCCACTGACTAGCTTTCCCATACGTATCACAACTTCAGCTGAGACTTGTGTAGCCACAAGTGTGGTTAAGGAAAAAGAAATCCTCAAACGTGTAAGTGGCACAGAAAAGACGACCGTGGGCCTTACAGTCACGCTGGGCCCCGTGTTGAGAAGCTCCGCCTGTGACCGAAGTCCACGGGGAGCAGTAGGGCTTTCGTACTCACACCCCACTGGGGCCGTGGCGTAGGAGATGGAGTAAGGGATGATGTGTCCCATGAAGATGCAAAAAACAATGCAGGGCGGTTTCGTTGCCCTGTTGCTTACTAACTGCATTTACATTTAAATGGTCCCTTTCACCAAGCGTTGGTCCCCTCTAGTCTTCATGGTTCTACCCTGAGGGCCCACAGTATTCATCCCCTAATTACCCGTGATGTCCAGTAGCTCCGTTAGCGTTTTACTCAGTGGATGCTAAACTTTTGTTTTTATTGGGAGTAAATAGTGGCATTTCGGGGCGTGTTTGCCCACTGCCATCTAGTGTTAGGCTGAGGAATTACAGCTAAGATCACTTTCAAGTCCCCGCTCCGGTGCGGAAAGTGCCAGCGCTTTCAGTGCGAAGGTGGGTGGCTCTGAAAAGAGCCTTTGGTTTAGTTGTTTGCGTTGTTGCCAAAAAACGCAGGGTCCTTACTTGCCCTTGGCCTTGTGGTGGCTCTCGGTCTTCTTGGGCAGCAGCACGGCCTGGATGTTGGGCAGCACGCCGCCCTGCGCGATGGTCACCTTGCCCAGCAGCTTGTTGAGCTCCTCGTCGTTGCGGATGGCCAGCTGCAGGTGGCGCGGGATGATGCGCGTCTTCTTGTTGTCGCGGGCCGCGTTGCCCGCCAGCTCCAGGATCTCGGCCGTCAGGTACTCCAGCACGGCCGCCAGGTACACGGGCGCGCCCGCCCCGACGCGCTCGGCGTAGTTGCCCTTGCGGAGCAGCCGGTGCACGCGGCCCACGGGGAACTGCAGTCCGGCCCGCGAGGAGCGAGACTTAGCCTTGGCGCGCGCCGCGCGCGCCTTGCCGCCCTGCTTACCGCGTCCAGACATGATTTCTTGAGAAGAAGCGAGCGCCTTCTAAGCACCAGATCAGAGAGATGGAACTAAAGGGGAAGCAAGACAAGTATTTATACTAACGGGAGGTAGCAGGCATGCACTTCCCCAGACCCAATGGGAACGTAGAGCCTGCCTCCCTCATTTGCATAGGAGGCGAGGTTCTTTTTTTTCTTTTCTTTGCTCCATTGTAATCTGGTCTGATGAACCTTTTTTTCTTTACTAATCATTGAATCAATTAGTCCCCCCGCCCCCCGAAATACTATCCTACACGCTGTCAGGCAGGAATTAATTGTCCTCAGACAATTGGTTATTCGTCTTTTGGAAAGAAATGCAAACAGGGCAATTTCTAAATAGATAACATTTAAGAGGTACATCTAAAAAAGAAAGAAACATAGGTACTTCCATGCCACGCGTTGCTTTAACTCTTTTAGAGCTCAGAAAATAGGGAGAAAGGGAAAATAATCCTTTCGGTGGCCCAAGGCTTCTTAAAGAATCTGAACAATGAAACCTGCAGAGGAGGTGGCCTAAGACAGCCGCTGGGTCTCCATGTCCCTCATATCTTGGGTAGGAGGCGTTCAGGTTGGCCTGGAAGTGTAGAGCGTGAGTACTCCCTTCATTTTAGGAATGTGAAACGTGGACGCCCACATTGGTTATTTACTAATAATTAATGGCACCAAGGACTGTGAACTCCTGGGTGAAAAGCCTTTGCCATCATTTCCCAGAGCAGCTCCCATCCCCCCGCCCCTTCTTTTCCCACTTGGACACAACCCACAGGATGCTGGTTATTTCAGAAAGCCGCCCTCCAGCCTGCATGGCCTGCAACCTGTAGTGGTTCTGTGCCTGTAATCCCTACGTTCCCACGTCACCTTTGTCCTTCTACCCAATATAAGCAGCTGGCTTACGGTGGGAGCCGAGCAGACTCTTTGTGGATGGCCTGCTGCTCGCCCATACTGCCGGCATTACTGTACTTAGCGCTCACCTAAGATCCAACCCTGTCTCTTCGTAAATGGCTCCAGTAGTGACAGGCAGCCCAGGCCCCGTGGTTGTGCGGTTTCACTATCTCGGTCCCGGTCGTGCACAGTCTCTGGACCTCCTGTTACCTGTCTCTTTGTGGACCTTCTCTTTTCAGGATTCTCAGTCATCTTCCCTCCAAACTAAAAGTCTCCTGGTCCTCTTCATCTGGCTCCAGGCACCCAGAACCCCACTGTTGGGTAGGGAGACGGCAGAACTTTTTATGACTGAAAAGAGAGTTGGGGATCTCGTCCAGGTTATTTGCCTGTTTTCTTTGTTGACAGAGAGCAGCAGCTCTGGAGAAAATGTAGGTGTTTATTAGGGAAGTGCGTGTATAAACCCTTCGGTGAGGACAAGGGTCTCGAGGTCTTGTTAGTGCTTCCCCAACGGGTTCTCTTGCTAAATGTTAACATGCGCAACAGTATTTTGCAGACACAGCTGTAAGCAGATGAGCTCGGCTCCAACCCAACCAGGTACCTGTAGCTGGTTGCAAAGAAGAAATCAACATGAAATTGACCACATGGTGTGTATAAGCCTTGTCTTGTCTAGCCTCCCTTCTGGAGACAGCATTGGAGGTGAGCCCTTGTCCCCTTTACTTGTTGCAAGTAAATAGATGTAACGACAACCACGCCTCATTTGTGAGTAGATCACCCTAAGCAGGGAACCCCGTAGTTTGCTAAACATTCCAGGATTTCTCTTAAGCTGATGGGACTGACCCCTGTGTTCAAAGTTGGTGCCTGGTCAGAATCACCTGGGGAGATTAACAAATTTGTTTCTGTCTTGTCACTACTGCCCACTATAGATCTGGGGAGCTACCATGGAGTCTAGGCATCTGAATTAAAATATATATATATAGCCCTAACCGGTTTGGCTCAGTGGATAGAGCCTCGGCCTGCGGACTCAAGGGTCCCGGGTTCGATTCCGGTCAAGGGCATGTACCTTGGTTGTGGGCACATCCCCAGTGGGGGGTGTGCAGGAGGCAGCTGATCGATGTTTCTCTCTCATCGATGTTTCTAACTCTGAGCCCGAACCCAGGCATGTGCCCTGAGCAGGAATGGAAGCAGCAACATTTTGGTGCCGGGGACGATGCTAACCAACTGAGCGACACAGGCCAGGGTGACTTCTTTTATTTCCTCATTCACTTGTGAAGCATCAGCCAGGTATCCGAACAGATAACATTTATAGGTTTGCGTTTAAGAGGCCTGGTGTTTTTCTCTAAGGTTGTCAATTCAGAGTATAGTTTTAGGTAAAGTATTAAATATTTAGAAGAAATGAGAGGGGAGGGATGGGGGACAGATGGCAAGACTGAAAGCAAGCAGGCAGGCAAAGTTGTATAGGATAAAATGGGGTGAAAATAACCCCTCCTGAGGTCCTGTTGAATAGGATAAGAAGTAATCTCACCTGCCAGCGCTTCCCCCTCAAGGGAAGAACCCGAGGGTTCGTGATTCTTAAACTACAGCCTGAATTCACTAACAAGCTTATTTGGGGAGGGTCTTTTTATAATCTCTATAACAAAAATTATTGACTTTTAAGGCAAGTGTGTTTTTCAAAACTATATTTTGCATGTGCCGAGAAAGAATTTCTCATACATTGTTCGGCTGTTATGTTGGGCTGTGGGGGTAAAAATTAATTTTCCTTTAAAGGGGTTCCTTTTTGAGAAATTCAACTTTAAATTTTACAGTATTTCTTCATCGTGCTCATACACCGAAGAAAAATCTCTCCCCCACCCCACCCCGCCTCACACACACACCTTAGAAATAAGCAGTGAGCAGCGATTCTTAACCGCCTCTTCCTCCCCTCCCCCAGCCCGGGACGGGGACCACCCCTCGGACCCTCTTCCCCACCCAAGGGCCTTCCTGTCTGTTTGGATTGGATTTGGAGCCCCAGCGTCTCTGGAAAAAGGATTGCAAAGAGCAGGCCGCACATCTTCCCCTCCATCCCCTTCCCCCCACCATCGCTGTCAGCCAGGAGGTGGCGCCACATATGGATGGAAGGGCGGGAAATTCAAATCCTTTGTCCCTTATCAGAGCGGGAACCCACCCTCCCCACCCTTCTAGGGGAATCGCTGAACCGCCCAAGGCCCAGGAGGTGGCAGCCCGGATTACTAGGACGTAAAAAAAAAAATTCACAAGCGTTTCAGACCGACTGTGGCCACAGGTAAACATTTCTAATGAGAAATCAGAGCCATCTCAGGTCACCTGTGTGCAAAGGGCTCGAGGCGGACCCCACAGAAACTAGTGCCCCAGGAGCCGCGCGCCATGTCGCCGATGTTTCCCCAAAGCTCCCAAGACGAGGTGAGTGCAGGCTCCCGGAAGGAGCGCCCCCCTACCTGCCCGTTTGGCTGCCCAGACCCACCCTCCTCCCACACAATCAGCCCAGATCAGAACTCCTCTGGTGGCCCTGCTCTCTGAAGTCCTTGATCGGCTTTCCTATCCAGCGGGGGAATTGCAAACCCATCGGAAACCTGCAGGGGTAGGGAAAGGGACCATTTGTAGGTGCATCTCAGTGAACACCTAGAGCCCCAAGGGCACCTTGAAGGTGGGATAAAACATGAACTAGAGAGCCTTGGGTCACAGCACCACGTTCACTTAAAACCAAGCGACCCTGGAGATGGAACCTGGGCTGACTTTGCCACAACTAAGTCAGGGCTCGAACTGAACCCACAGCATGAAACAGTGACCTCGCTCAGAAACGGCAGTTACAGCTTTTCTCAGAGAAAGTGGGTGGCTCTGAAAAGAGCCTTTGGGTTTGACAGGGGCCGAAGCACCTCACTTGGAGCTGGTGTACTTGGTGACGGCCTTGGTGCCCTCGGACACGGCGTGCTTGGCCAGCTCGCCGGGCAGCAGCAGGCGCACGGCCGTCTGGATCTCGCGGGACGTGATGGTCGAGCGCTTGTTGTAATGCGCCAGGCGCGACGCCTCGCCCGCGATGCGCTCGAAGATGTCGTTGACGAACGAGTTCATGATGCCCATGGCCTTGGACGAGATGCCGGTGTCGGGGTGCACCTGCTTGAGCACCTTGTACACGTAGATGGAGTAGCTCTCCTTGCGGCTGCGCTTGCGCTTCTTGCCGTCCTTCTTCTGCGCCTTGGTGATGGCTTTCTTGGAGCCCTTCTTCGGGGCGGGCGCCGATTTGGAAGGTTCCGGCATGGCGTCTGCAAAAGGCTGTAGAATTGCTGGTTGCAGTTTCCACAACAGGGATGAAGGGTTAAGGACTGAGAGCTCATTCAGCATATATATGTTTCTCGATGTAAATGAGGAATTAAGAATCCTCACCTCTGATTGGTTAGTCACTACATGTCACTGAGGGGCGTGGTCTATGCAAATAAGAAATACACAGTTCTCTTTTCTATTGGACAGAACATATTTTAACCAATCAGATGTCTTATCGCTCTATCCAAGCTGTAGCTATAAAACGGTTTCTTCAACCTAACATCCTCACATCGCTTTTTTGCAGCAGCTTTTTCTGCACGTTAGAATTTTGCCAATATGTCCGGACGCGGCAAGCAGGGCGGCAAAGCGCGCGCCAAGGCCAAGACGCGGTCCTCGCGGGCCGGGCTGCAGTTCCCCGTGGGCCGCGTGCACCGGCTGCTCCGCAAGGGCAACTACGCCGAGCGCGTCGGGGCGGGCGCGCCCGTGTACCTGGCGGCCGTGCTGGAGTACCTGACGGCCGAGATCCTGGAGCTGGCGGGCAACGCGGCCCGCGACAACAAGAAGACGCGCATCATCCCGCGCCACCTGCAGCTGGCCATCCGCAACGACGAGGAGCTCAACAAGCTGCTGGGCAAGGTGACCATCGCGCAGGGCGGCGTGCTGCCCAACATCCAGGCCGTGCTGCTGCCCAAGAAGACCGAGAGCCACCACAAGGCCAAGGGCAAGTGAGGAGCAAATCGCAACATCCAAACCAAAGGCTCTTTTCAGAGCCACCCACGCGTTCACTAAAGAGCTTGCAGCTGCCATGTTGGAGCAGTTACTTGAGAATCCCCTTGACTGAGAATCACTGGAGGTGCCAGTATGTTAACTCCTCAGAAACAAAACACGAACCGTGCATTCAAAACAAATGTAAAACGAACACAATGGTTTGTATCAGGTAATTAAGCAATTGGTGCAACATGCCCTGGGGCTCAAGTGCCTCTGGACGGAAGGTGAAGTGCTCTGCAGGCTAAGCCATTCTTTTCTGGTAAAGAGCTTAGCACTTTTATTTGTATTAGAAAGTGAGTCATCGGCGCAACGGAGTCACAGTTCCCCATTGAAAGCAAAACATTGTCAAAAACTGCATGAAGAAATGTGTACCCATCCACATGTATTGGTAGATTTTCAAGAAACACCTTACTTTCCACCCCAATACAGATTCTTACAATAAAGATGTTGGCAACAATGTATAACAATGAGAGACACTCAAGTGACCCCCCAGAAGTGTTTTTATTTTTAAGCTAAAGTTTGGGTTGTGAATAGGACTGTGAAGAAAACTCAGTCAGGTCCCGTGGCTGAGTGGCAGGAGAGCTGGGGTGTCTGCTTTTATGTCACTTATTTACTGGGCTGCCTGTGACATTTGCTACTCGGTGGCATTACAGAGAAATAGACGCCCTCAGTTCCGGGGATTGGCTTTCCTAAATTTGAATGAGATTCAAAAATCACTTGGCCAATCCCGTGTAGCGCGCGCTTTTTCAAAAAGATCAGACGATAGCCCGTTTCCGGAGCCAAAATTTAAAATTTTTATTCAGGAAACAAGACATATAATGGTAATATTTACATTAAGTTCTGCGGAGAAAAGCCAAAGAACATTGTAGAGAAAAGAGGTAAAGACGGTAGAAGCGAGAAAGAGTAGGAAACGGCCGCAGATGAAAGGGTGGGAGGGAGAAAGAAGTTAATTTCCGGTCCAAACGCCCGGGAGGCCTGCGGTCCGGAAGTGGATGGGCCTTCCAATAACTTCCCTACGGGTCTTGATGGACAGATGCCGTATCCAATGAGAGCGGGCCTCGCCTTATATATACTGGTTGAGAGCCCGCGCTCTCATTCTCCTAGCAGTTTGCTACCTTTGGTGCTTTGCGATGGCTCGGACCAAGCAGACGGCGCGCAAGTCCACGGGCGGGAAGGCGCCCCGCAAGCAGCTGGCCACCAAGGCCGCCCGCAAGAGCGCCCACGGGCGGCGTGAAGAAGCCGCACCGCTACCGGCCCGGCACCGTGGCCCTGCGCGAGATCCGCCGCTACCAGAAGTCCACGGAGCTGCTGATCCGCAAGCTGCCCTTCCAGCGCCTGGTGCGCGAGATCGCGCAGGACTTCAAGACCGACCTGCGCTTCCAGAGCTCGGCCGTCATGGCGCTGCAGGAGGCGTGCGAGGCCTACCTGGTGGGGCTGTTCGAGGACACCAACCTGTGCGCCATCCACGCCAAGCGCGTCACCATCATGCCCAAGGACATCCAGCTGGCGCGCCGCATCCGCGGGGAGCGGGCGTGAGCTCCGTCCTACCCACTTGCACCGAAACCCAAAGGCTCTTTTCAGAGCCACCCACAATTTCAGGTAAAAAAGGCTGTAACTACACATCCGAAGTGCTGAGACCCAAACTAGAAATTACTGGGGAAATTATAAGTAGGTAAGGACAAGGATACTTAATGTTGAACTTCCTACTATTTATTGGCGATTTCTATATTAAGGTGAAATCCCTTTAGGTTGCAGTGGATCAATTACAAGTACTGAGTACCTGCATGTATTCCGTATAACGCCTTACTGACAGATCTCCCACCCCTCCGCATCATTATACTGTTTTCTCTTTCCATGGCTTGTGCATCTAAGTACCTTGCTCCATCCACCCCCACCCCAGGCCTCCCCTCCCACAGCTCTCAGACTGTTCCTTGTTCATGCCTCTTCCTATCCTGTCAGTTTTGTTCCTTAGGTTCCGCATGTGAGATTATATGGTAGTTGTCTTTCTCTGGATTCCTTATGACATTTAGATACTAAAGTTTCACCGCATAGATAGAAGCTAATGGTAGCTTTTTATTGGATTTCAATTTTTCAAGAAATTCTCAAATAATTGAACCTTGTTTTAATTGTCAGAAGCAGTATTGACTATCTCCTTGTGTCCTGTTCAGTGGAATTCAGTCAGACAACAGGGTTTATGAGTGTACTTTAGAGGCTCCTGAACACCGTTACTCCTGCCATCAGGGGAAGGGTGTGCTCTGGAGAGAGAGCGCACTGGGTCCTCCATCCTAAGGGCTTTAAAGGCTGGGATTTTAGGGGAGATCCCAGGGACACATCTTGATAGAATATTCAGCAGCTTCCCAGGTGCGTCCATTCAGGGTTGTGGCCTCCACTGATGGATTGGCCGGCACCAGAGCAGGGGGACATTATTCAACGCAGCTGGTCCTAACGTCAGCCATGGCTGGTTTGCTGCTTATCTGGGCCTGGAGCTGAAATACAACTGAGGCCCAGATGTTATCTTCAGGGAGAAAAGTGAAGGGGGGAGGGGAAGTCTCCCTGGGGCGAGGGCCCACCCTACCATTGATTGCTTCCACCCTGTTGACCTTCTGTACCTGGCCCATTGTCCTTGCCCAGCTCCTGTCGGTCTCCACGCCTACAGCAAAGATAAGGTCAAGGCCTAAATTCAGTTCCTGAGCCCTGGAGCTGCATGGCTCTCCCTGGCCACACCCTCATGAAACCTGACCAACCAGCAAGACCCATGGCCCCAAACCCCTTACTCATGAGGACTTTCGTTCTGTAAAACCCTTGTCGGTACACTGTTGGGGAGTTGGGGTTTTATATACTTTAAATTATTTAACACCTACGGAGTGCCTGGTTCTTTCTCTGCACCTTGGTGTCCGCATAACTGGCTACTGTCAGCACCACCAGGTAGGCAAGCTCTTTGCTGGGTTTCAAAGGCAAAGATAAGCCTTTTACTAAAATGTTCTGTGCCACTATGACCTGCCGGGCTAGAAACGCATTACAGCACTCCTTTTTCATCCACAAAAGGTAGCCACTGTAGAACTTGTCTCTCCCTTCACCCAGGCCCCTCCCTTTTTAATAATACAGAAGCATTGATGTGTTCCTTTTTGAAACTTTCCAAATATAAAACAAGATAATAGGGAATAGATAAAAATTTTCTGAGGCCTGAAGTTTATGCAACTTGGTGACTCTTTAAAACCTTCACTAGATTACAAAGACAAAACTAGATAGTGAACATCAATTTATAGTGGAAAAATAAGTCGCCTGTGCATGAAAAGGGGGTTCCATGTTACATACCTCAGGGTGATCTTATGATGTTCTGGACATACTGGGTTAAATAAACCATCTTTTTAGAATGGTTTCACCTGTGTCTTTGCTCCTTATTTATGTGGCTATGAACAGCTAGCACTGCTGTGGAATAAATTGGCTCAGGCACAGATTCCTTCGGTCACTGGGTATCTTCTATGTACACTTGATGGAATACTGGCCCTCAAGAAATCTAGAATATTAGATCGCCGTTGCCAGCAGGAACAGAGAAAACAAAGTAACTGGGAATAGAGGTAATAAAAATAGGAATAGGTATTACGAGAAAAGTACAAACTGTTTGAATGGGAAAACATAAAAAGTTCTTGAATATGAAACATCTCCTCAGTTTAATTTATAAAAACAAAATCCCAAGAAGACTATCAATAGGGTGTTGAAGGTTTCTGAGTGGGTGGGAAGGAGGAGCTTTCCAAAGTAATTATGGAAAAGCAAAATAAATAAACAAAAAACAGAATTACCAGAGAATTCTGGAAAGGATAATGAGAAGAAATCAGCTATTCAGGTTATATTATAACATGTTTATTTGACATCCAATTACTTGCATATCTACTATGGTTCATATATTCTCAGCATTGCAGAGCTGTGAACAGTACTGAAACCAGTGTGATCTGGCCTTAGGAATGGCTGGAAAGATCAAAGGGACAAAAGAGAAAACCAAGAATTAGTTCACCTCTGCATGGAATTTACCTGTGATAAAGGCCCTATCTCAAGTGGGGGTGGACTGGGGAGGGCAGGAGAGGCAGAAAAGGCAGTTAGTAAATGGTTTTGAGGAAAATATTATCCATATGCATTCATATATCCTAACATAAGTCCTATAAAAACAGCCATGCATTCACATATCAAAAATGATCCATATATTTGTACCCATACTTGTACACGAACATGCAGAGGGCTCACAATTATTTTAAATGTAAAATTAACAGAAAAATGGGGAAAAACATGAGACAACCATCTTTCTTCGTGTGTGTTATAGTCGTGAGTGAGTCTTTCTGTTCAAAGTGATTACACAGACGACGAAGATTAAACTCTCTCTGCCCAGGAGAGAGGGCGGGGCGGGGCGCATGAACTCGAGTCACCCCCCCCCCCCCCCCCCCCAAAAGCCCCCCCTAAGGCAATTACCTCCCTGGAGCTGGGGCAACAGATGCAGATAGAACTGCGCGGCAGGCCCCCAGGCCCCTCTCCCTGCAAGTTGTGCAGAATTGAAACTGTCCGCTGGGCTGCATCCAGCACAAACGCCCCGAGTGTAACACAACCCATGGGTGACACTGTCGATGAAAACTAACGCCCTTACTGACATCACCCCTCACAGACTCAGATCCAAGGCTCACCGACACTTTTTCCTCCTGCATGGAAAGACATTTGGGTCTCTCTCTCGCTCTCTCTCTCTCTCTCTCTCTCTCTCTCTCTCTCGGCGTTTAAAGCATCTTCAGGGTTTACTTGTTTGTCTAACGGAGGGTGGGGAGCCTCCTGTCAGGACAACATGGCGACCAAAGGTTGTTTTTGATGCGCTCCGACCGGTCACACCCAAGTTCAAGGTTACAGGGTCCGAGGGACAGAAAGACCCCGCAGCTGCCGAGACCTGGGCGGCAGCCATTCCTCAAGGGCGCTTTCTTGTCGCCAGAAAAAAAAACGGGAATGAAAAGAATGAGCGAGAAGGCGCCCGCGCCTCCTCCTCCCAGGGCTGGAGGCCAAAAAACGCCCCAGGACACAGCAGCCTGACTTTCCAAAACATGCCAGAAGCATTGCCACACCCAGCGAGAAGGGCAAACTCAACCCAATCAACAAAAAAGCCAAAACAAGTAAAAAAGAAAAAAAGAAAAGCAAACGTGCGACAGCAGCTGCCACTGTCCAATGGCATCCAGGACGAGGACGACGGGCGGCGGGCGCGCGCCAACCCGCGAGCGGGCGGGACTTTTGAAAGCTTCCCTGGCCTAATGGTGCCATCCCCGCGGCTCGGGAACGGGCTGGTATGACTGGGGATTGCGTCCCTGTCCACAGGCCCGTGGGGCCAGGGCTGCCGAGGGCGGTTCCGCTCATCGGACCAGGAACAGTCCCCCCACAGCAGCCCGTTCCCAATGCGGATGGTCTGCCTGTCACCTCAGCGACCGCCCTTCCGAGGCCCACACTAACCCCTCCTCCCGGTGTCTGCAGGCCTCTCCGAAGTCGCTCCGGCGACACTGCGTTAGAATCAAAGGTTAAAGGCGTGGGGAGGGGAGGGGAGAATGGGGTGAACGGCGGGTGAGTGCTCAGCTCTCTTTTGAGACCAGTGGTGGCTCTGAAAAGAGCCGTTTTGGGTTGTAGAAGCGGGTGTGAGCCTACTTCTTCTTGGGGGCCGCCTTCTTGGGCTTGGCGGCCTTGGGCTTGGCGGCCTTGGACTTCACAGCCTTGGCCGGGCTCTTCGCCGGCTTCTTGGGCTTGGCGGCCTTCACCTTCTTGGGGCTCTTGGCTGCTTTCTTGGCTCCCGCCGCCGCCGCCGGCTTCTTGGGCTTCTTCGGGGTCTTCTTGGCGCTCTTCTTGGGGGTGGCGGACCCCGCGGGCTTCTTGGGCTTCTTAGCCGCGCCTGCGGGTTTCCTGGGCTTGGCCGCACCCGCCTTCTTGGCCTTGGGCTTGGCCTCCCCGGAGGCCGCCTTCTTGTTGAGCTTGAAGGAGCCCGAGGCGCCGGTGCCCTTGGTCTGCAGCAGGGTGCCCTTGCTCACCAGGCTCTTGAGGCCCAGCTTGATGCGGCTGTTGTTCTTGTCCACGTCGTAGCCCGCGGCCGCCAGCGCCTTCTTGAGCGCGGCCAGCGACATGCCCGCCCGCTCCTGGGACAGCGACAAGGCCTCCGTGATCACCTTGGACACCGACGGGCTTGGCGTCTTGCGATTCACACCCGCCAGGCCCACCTGCTTCTTCCCTCGCTTCTTGATGTTCGGCTTCGCCATGAAAGCCGGGCCAGGCTCAGCCGGGTCCACAGGAGCCGTCTCGGACATCACAGGCGGAGGGTCCACGGACAAGAGCCAGGGAGGAGGGTTAAGCGCCGGCCGGGGGGCCCTCACGCCTTATATAGGGCAGGGCGTGCTCTGATTGGTGCGTCGCCTAGGCCTCGCCCCGCCGCGCCGCCGCCGCGCGCCCAAGTTGTGTTTGTTACACTTCACAAAAGGGGGAAAATATTAAAATCCCCCGCACCCAACGCCCCGGGGCCGGTCGGAAAAGAATCCGAGAAGCCTCAGGCTTCCTGCCCGGCATTTATTTTTCCTGTAACTGCAAAGACGCCGCGTCCAGGGGCCCCCAACTCCCCCAACTCCCAGGCAAGTCCAGGACCATCGGAGACCACTTTCTGTTTTTCTTCTAAATTACCTGTTCGCTCCTTGGCCCTGGAAAGTTCTTTTTCTCAGGGGGGGTAGGGCACATGTTCACCTTCCTATGGGGACCAACACGAGGTCGTTGTCACTTAAAATTCCACGGTAATTCGGTTTCTTCGCAAGGGAAGTAACACAGGTCCTGGGTGAATTCTGCGTGCAGACGCACAGGGACTGGGGACTGGGACCCGGTTCTGGACCAGCCCAGAGCAGTTAGGCAGGGATCCGAGGGGGGTCCCTAAGTTCCCGGGGGGCCCTGGGTGGTGGCGGGTTGGAGACTCACATCTTTGATGTGAAGACATTGAAAAAATCCTTTAGCAAATCCCTCTTTCCGTCGATGGGGGCGGGGCACCCTTTTCACTTTCCAAAGTGGAGACATTGGGCTGTTTTTAAAAGCTCTCGGGTTCCCCTCTGCGTTGGACACGGCAGGGGGTCTGGCCCTCAGAAGAGGGACAATAACCGAGGCAGGAAGACCCACTCAGCCTGCCCAGCGCCCCCAGAAGACTCCGCGGGGGGGAAGGGGCATTGCGAGGGTCTGTTTCCAAACAAGCCTTTAGTTATTGATGATTTGTTTTGGTATGCAGCAGTAGAGAGGCGAATTTTGCCATGAAACCTTTGGGTTGCTTCCAGTTGCAATACCTACAGGTCAGGGTATAGAACGCCCTCTCAGTGGGAGCTCACACCTGTAGGTGGAGATAAAGTGACAGTCTTTTCATAGGAGACACTTTGACTTATAAGGTGAACTATAGATTTGAAACATAAAAAAAAAGGAATGGAAACATTTAAAAAAGAAAAAGAGGGAAAGCACTGGAACATGTAGATTATGATGCCTTTTAAATTTTATTTTATGAATTCACCTCTTCCCATCCCTCCTAATGTTGGCCTGAGGTCGTCTATTGCAAGATTTGCTTTACCGCTTTAAGGTTTGTTACTTCCTATGGTGCCCTTGGGTTCAAAGCCATTGCGATGTAGTCGTGCAAGAAAAGGCTGGGTAAACGTTCTGCTCACGTATTTAATGGGAATGTATTTTGTGTTTAGGGACAAAGGAAGTAGGACAACTCCCCAGAAATTCCTACTCAAACATATGGCTACCGGCCAATGTGTATTAGAGGTGCCAGACGGAGATTGTGGTCATCAAAGGTGTGAGTGTCTCCAGGTCCAGCGGTTCTTACCGTTTTCTCTCCAGGGGAGAATGTAGCACAGGCTTTGCAGACACAGGGCCAACCTGATGAACTTGACCACGCTGAGCCCACCGCAGAGAAGTCCAGTGTCGCTACTAGCCAAACGCGGTGAAGTTTTGCCAACTGCAAAGAAGAGATCAGCATGTGCTGAACCAAATGGTGTCGAGAAGCCATTGCTAAACCTTCCTTCTGTGAGACAGAGCTCGGAAAAGTATTCCAACACCTCCCTTGTCACAATCAGAACTAAAAATGTTTTCTTCCAACAAGAGCTGTGTGCCTTTTGGCGCAGACACGCCAAGCGGTGAACCCATTGTGTGAGGTGACAAAGGAGCTTAAGCAGATAAATGCAGGGCTGAAGGAGAAGCGAGGCATCTTGGTTTAGACTAAGGATAACCCCAAGGTTTCATTGAATACCATTCGTTCAGCATTTGAAAACTGTGTCTACTCCTGCTCACGTCCTGGGAATTACCAGCCTAATACGATTAGTAATGGACGAGTTCGCAGCCGGAGAAAAACACCTTTGACCTGCCATCCGTCCGTGTGACTTTGGGTCTAAGAATCATAACAGATTCTTGAAACTATACAAGCAACTAAAGCACCTTCATCATCTTCCTATATTTTGCTAAAAAGATAAAATAAGAACACGCCCCTCTGCTCGGATTCTATGGGCAAAGAACCCCTTCCCATCTGAAACAAGGCTGAGGGTGCCCAGCCATCAAGAAAGAGCTGTGTGGGCCCTAACCAGTTTGGCTCAGTGGATAGAGCGTCAGCCTGCAGACTGAAAGGTCCCAGGTTCGATTCTGGTCAAGGGCATGTACCTTGGTTGCAGGCACATCCCCAGTAGAAGGTGTGCAGGAGGCAGCTGATTGATGTTTCTCTCTCATCAATGTTTCTATCCCTCTCCCTTACTCTCTGTAGAAAATCAATAAAATATATATTTTTTAAAAGAAAGAAAGAAAGAGCTGTGTGGCCCAGGCAGCATGGCTCAGTGGTTGAGCATCAACCTATGAACCAGGAGATTCCCAGTCAGGACACATGCCTGGGTTGCCAGCTTGATGCCCAGTGTAGGTGTGCAGGAGGCAGCCGATCCATGATCCTCTCTCCTCCTTCCTCTGTGAAATAAATAATAAACATATATGTTTTTTAAAAAGAAAATCCCTGTAGGGAGTCTTGATTGGCAGGTTACTGGACCTCCCTTCCCTGTAAATCGGTGTCCTGGCATAAGTCAGCCTCATGGAAATGTGATTCCTGGGATTCTGTCCTCCAAGATGACCCCTCAGCTCGAAGCTCCTCTGTGTGTGCAAGTCCAAACTCCAGATCGAATTATCAGGAGAGATGCCACCCAGAGTCCTGCTCCCACCCTCCTGCCCGCATGGTGGTGGGCAGAAGGCAGAGAAGCAAGGAACCTCCAGATGCCTGCGATTTGTGTGGGAAACGTTATCCAAAACTTAAACACACGGCAAAGGTATTTCTTCTGTCCTTTCGAACTGTATTGGGAAAGTGTATTGGGAAAGTGTCTAAGTCCACCTGTGGGTCATCCGATGCCCGAAGGCAATGCTAATAAATAGACTGAGAGCCACATGGGTCATTTTAAGTTTTCTAGAATCCCACAGAAAAAAAGTAAGAAGAAACAGGTAAAAACAATTGTAATGATACATCTTTAACTTAATATATATATCTAAACTATTATCAACTCAACATGCAACCAATATCTTTAAAAAATCAGAGTTTATGGTCCTTTTTTTCCAATAATAAGTCTTCAAAGTCTTGTGTCTATTGTTGTATCGTAAATCAGCGAGTGAGATACAAGACACCTTAATGAGCCAATTAATTAGGGGTCATTTGTTGCATGTGGCCCAGAGGGTGATGTTTCTTCCAAATCTCTGAGCAACTCATACAGGAAGTTTCCTGTACTTATACCTTTTGAGCTTCTTTGCAGGTTTTACAAAGGGCTCTGTGTGAGCTATTGTTACAGAGTTTGTGATCTTGGACACATAAAGAACAAACATTTGGCATAAGAACATGGGAAGTATTATCAGTATTAGTCCATTACGTTAGATGGCTAGCTTGCAAGGTCAGACAGTTAGGTTTTTATCTTTTTCTATCCAAACTAAAATAGTTATTCTACAGAATAAGAGACTGTCTAAAAAGTGACAGAGTTTACAGAACAAGGGGCTATCTCACAATAGCAGAGAATTTCAAACAGCAGCTTATATACCAGATGGAGGTTACTATGCTTCACTATTTCACAGTCGTGACCATTTCGACACGGATTAGACATGTTACAAGAGCTCAGTGGCCCTTGGAGGTGAACAGCTGGCACCGCTTTAGCTGAGGGGAATTTCTCTTCATATTTACTTTTCATTAAGCCCAGAGGATGTGAAAATTAGACGGACTTGTAGAAGACAGACAGGTGAGTAAGGGTTTCATCCAGTACAGACGCAAATGCGTTCTTTCCAGTAGAAAAGATGACCCTGAAAGGTCCTGCTTCGTTGCCTAACAGGACTGGAACCAGTTCTGTCTGATTTTTCAGGCTCCCAGCATTCCTTCTCCCCGTGACTGAACACACATTCCATTCCCCTGTGTCCTGTCGGGACCTAACGTTGTCTTCCTGCTCACTGCCTCCCTAGTGACACCACCACCCCTGACCACATACGAACTCACACATCTGTATAAAAATCATGCTTGAATGTTTTGGAAATTGTGTTTTGACACTGTTTGTCATAAGGGCTCCAGGGCCAGCATCTTTGGAAACTTGTAAAAATTGGAAAATACAGCCCTTGGATGGTTTGGCTCAGTGGATTGAACATCGGCCCTCGGATAGAAGGGTTCTCGGTTTGAGGCCAGACAAGGGCATGTACCTCCGTTGCAGGAGACAGCTAATCCATGTGTCTCTCTCACATCGATGTTCCTCCTTCCCTCTCTCTCCCTGCTCCCTTCCACTCTCTCTAAAAATCAATGGGAAAATGTCCTTAGGTGAGGATGGACAACAGCAACAACAACAAAAAACAACAACACTGGAAAATACAAAACTATATAACGTTGAACAAGTTACTAAACTACTCTACGCCTCAGCTTTCTCATCTATACAGGGTCGACAATAGTACCTGTCTTAGAGGTGATTTTGAGAATGAATTAATATCTATACAGTTCTTAGAACACAACCTGGCACGCTGTAAGTACAAATTATATATATTTTACCATAGACATATTAAAATTGTTTTTAAAAATTATATATACATTTGATTGATCACAATGTGGCACAATCCAGACACTGTTGGTGTGAGAGTGTCAATAAGACTGATAAACACAGCAGTTAGCTGGACACGTCCTGTGCCCCAGACAGTCCGTGCACGAGTCTCACTCCTTCCTTTCCACGATCCCAGAATCCCATTCCAACCACTACCACCGCACCAGCGAGGACATGGAGACGGAGAGCCCAGATCTGCCCTAGGACAGCCCCGAGGACTGAGGGCAACTTATGTA